ATAGCAAAAAAAGTGTGGTGGGGAGTAGGTCTGGAGAGCAGTGCCCAGGACTGGTCTCAGGCCTTGTCTTTGGCAATGAAGGCACTAACCAACAAAGTCAGCGCTGAGCAATGAACAAACTACCAGGAGATGCTGGYGGTGAATAAAAGAGCTACCAAAAACCAGGACAGTAAATAACCGGTGGTGAAGAGAGTGAAGTTTGCTCTATTTGAACGATGTACTGACACCTGCAAATTGGGTGCAGGCATGGGCAGGCTGGATGAATGGTCTATTTTGTTTCTAATTAGACTTAAAACAAGGTTGAATTTGTTAGGGGCCAGGTGAACAGGCAGCTGAGGAAGAAGGGACCCACAAATCGGCTTTAGCAGAGGGGTAGCACAGCTTGGCTCCGCGACTTAATGAAGATTTGTTGGTCAACACCACTCTCCCGACCTGCTTAATGTGCTCTCTATCTAATTTGCTCTGCTGTTGGAGTAAATTTAAAGCCCCCAGGTCAGTCTCAACTTTCATGGCTCTTGTGCTTTCTGCAGCGTCAGCAGGAAGTGTGAACTGAAGACGTAGCGTTTGGAACCAGAGCAAAGTATTTTTATCCTAATGAAACTCAAAGCCAGGTGAAGTTTTGGGGAGAGAGSAAACAGGATATGGAGTCCCTCTGGGGACAGGGAGGTTCATAACACTCAGAAACTTGGCCCATGTTCTGCTCTGYTCCACAAAGGGTTTGCAGCAATTTTTCAGACAGACTTGGATCCATCACGGTTTGTGAGAGAACCTGCTGGGAATTTTGGTGATTCCTGCAGTCTAGGGCAAAGGAAATGTGTGTTTCTGCTTTGTGTTTCCAGGGAAAGTAGGAAGATGACATTCAAAACAAAACTCAGCAGATGGGAATCTCACACAGGCGGACGCGAGGAAATGTTTAAACAAGCCTTGTCCAYAGTCCTCGAGCCCAGGATTTAGCAGCTAAGGCATGGAAAGACTTCACAAAGACAATGAAATGCATTTTGGCTCCCAGCTCAGTTCCTCCAGCAGGCAGTGAGAGTTGTGCTTGTGAATCTGAGGGCAGAATGCAGCCAGCAGTATGGGGAATAGATGTAATGTGAGAAACTCTCATGCTATATTATTATAGTCTGAACTGTTTCCATCATTTTGGGTTAAGTAATTCCCCACTATCCATCTCCAAAGCGCAAGCAGTACTGCCTGGATGTGCCCCAGGGACAGGAAGCAAACCAGCCTTTGAATCTTTACCCAACCTTACTGCTCATATTTTGCTTTCAGTGAATAACTGCTCAAATCCTTTAATATTTCATTCCCATAAAAATATATTTACCAGGGCTTTTGTGGCAGCACTGAGGCTGCATTTATTATTTTAGGAACACCACACGACTGGCTTCACAGGAAAGACAAGGYAGGAACACAGAGTGCTGCAAATCCATCAGAGAACAGCATGTTTTCCACCTGTTGGGGCAGCAGCCACAGTAACAGATGCACATAATAATTAACGGTACCTCAAAGGCAGTGACAAGTCCTGCAAGTTCTGCTCCCCACCTCGTGGACAGCTAGATAACAGAATAACAAAGGAGGGCACCAAGTGCTTGGAGGAGGAAGAGGAGGAGGAGGAGGAAACCACAGCTCATGTGAAAGGGAACCTGGAAGGCAGGAGATGTGGGGGAAGGCTCTGAGGCCCAGGGATGCTGAGAGAAGAGCGCGGCTGAGGAGCCTCAGGAGACTGTCTTTGTTTTTAGAGGTGGCCAGGCTTTTCCACATACATCTTTTTTTTTTCCAGCTCTGCTCTCATTCCTACTGTTAATAACATCAGGGATAGTTTGAGAAGACAAAGACATGTCTCTCATCTACTGGTGCCATTCCTTCCCAAGGATGGGTTGTCCTATAGGGCCAGGCAGCAGCGCTGCKGGGTGAGGGTCTCGTGCAGGGGTAAGATGATGGGAGCAGGGCAGGAGGGTGAGCTCGTCCTGCTCTCCTCCCTGCTGAGATGGGGCACGGTGCTGTCCTATTGCTCGTCAGCGCCCTAGGAAGCCGGTGTAGGGAGAAGGATGTGGATATGGGGGGAGGGCCGCAGGGCAGGTGAGACCCTTTCAGCCCTCATTGCTGGGGCTTGTGAGGCCCTGCTCCCCATGCACTGGCAACCGCAAGGGAGGAGGAAGGAGCCAGGCCTGGATTTTGGCTGCGTGAGGACCCTGGGGCTGCGGCCACATGGAGCTGGTCTGCAGCCCCTCCTGGAAAGCAGGGGACACTTCCTTGCAGGGATTCGCGGGGCAGGGAATGATCTCAGCCCTGATTTAATCTTGACAGAGGCAGATGATGAGAAGCCTGTGTGCGGAGTTGGAGTTTTCCTTTGAATTCCTGCTGCGTGGAAGGCAATGCTATAAATAGCTGCAGTATCCTTTTTACCCTGGTACAGTTCTGTCTCCACCTCCCCATATAGACAGCACGTCTGCTGGTAGGTATTTAGTAGGAATTAATTTAACCCAGTCTTCTCTTGCTGTGCTCTGTTGCTCCAAGCAGCCCAATGGCTTCCCCAGCCCTATGCACATACTTCCTCAATAAACGTCTCCTGAGGCCACTGATATTAAAAAATCCCATTTCTCTCTGAAAATTCCATCCTAGTTATCAATAGGCCAGAGGAGCCGGAAGCTATAAAGAGTTAGTATTACAAAAAAAAAAAAAAAAAAAAAAAGACAAAGCACATGGTCCCCACTTTTTTAATTTTTCCCCAACGTTTTGTAAACTGCTCCGCATTTTAATCGTGGCCTGTTTCACATTTTCCCCTTTGTAACTGGTTGCCAGTTTCTCATCCCAAGCAAGACTCTTGTAACCAGCAGATGAGAAGAAAACCTGCACCCCTTTTCTCATAGCTATTACCTCAAAGACAGTTATTTAAGAAATGTAAATAAAAGCTGGACAAGTATTTAAAGAAAAAAAAAATATCTTTCATCATCTTTTTCAGCGAGAGCGCCTTTTGCTGGGGACGCAGCGGGAAAGCTGCCCCGAATGGCCCCATCTCGCAGGTTCTGGGGGCAGAGCCCACGCTAGGCCCTCGCGGGGCGGCTGTGTCGGGGCGCCGGGCTCGTGCAGCTCGGGCCGGGCGCTGCGTTTGCTGGGGTGCGTTTGCAAGCAAGCGTTGGAAGTACTTGCCTTGGCTCCCGCGCGGCGCTCTCGGGGGTACCTTAGCGTGAGCAACGGCCCTGAGCGTCCTCCGGCCGCGCCGCCTGCACAAGGGCTTCCCAGCCCCTCTGTGTTGTGTTTATTCAACGTCTATTTTTAATTGTGTTAATTATAAACCATAATTCCCTGCTGTGTTTGGGTCCGCGAGCATCCACCAGGGAGGGGACGGCGGGTGGCGGGACGGGGCGCGCGGGCAGGGGCCGGGGGGCCGGAGCGGAGCCGAGCCGCGCGCGGAGCGGCACCTGTAGACGCGGAGCATAGGAATCTATTTATTTATTTATTTACTATTTACTTATTTATTTATTTATTTTATTTTTATTTATTTATTTATTTATTTATGTTACTGGGAACTGGGGGCATCTCCCCAGCCTACTCTGACTCTTCGTTTTTTCACTTTTTTTTCCGCAGACTGAAGCCAGGGTGCCGAGTTGGGCGTTATGGGGACACGTGCCTACATCAGCCTTGTGCCTAGCGCCCGAGGTGCGCTGTGGGGTGCGCTGCCTCATCGCTGACGCCCCTTACACTTTGGGTCACCTCATGGAGCTCGCAAACAGGTTTTCTTATGCAGGAAAATCAGGCAAAGGTGTTCTCCAATGTTCCGTGTGGACAATTAGTCGGTCTGAAGTAAATCCCCTTGAAATGCCGTGGCGGGGCCTGCTCTGCACTCGCTGCTTTTCCACGGCACATCCAGATGCGGCAGGGCAGAGCGTTGAGTTGTGTGTCCCGAGGGTGGAAATCTGCCGTGCAGACGGCGTGGGGAGCAGCCCGTCGTGCTGCTCCTGTTCCGGGCAGCCGGTTCGCCGTGCTGGGAGCCTCCATGCCCTTGCATTTCCAAGTCTGGCACCGGGATCACCAGCCGCTGCCATCTCCGAGCTGGCTTAGTGCTGGGAATACTTGTCCGCCGGGGACAGCGGGCCAGATGTGCTGCACATAGTTTCCAGGCAGCGCTGATGTGCCAGATGACAGTAGCTATTGAGTGCTCCTCTGGTGGCCCAGAGACACCAAGATGAAAGCCCCAGGCCTGTCAGCGCTTCCCTYGCAGCCCTGCGTCCCTTCAGTTTTCACCCTAGTTCCCTCACAAAAGCAAATGCTGCAGAACATGGTGTTGCGACACCAATGATCTTTATTTTTTGAGAAAGAAAATTAGGATTTTTACAATACTGAGCTGTTGGGCTGATCTGGGGACCCTTGAATTGTGTTGTCAAATGCTTTTCTGCACCCACTCCCCTTGTCCGTGCATCTTCTTGGAGCCCCAGCTGAGAACCCACCTTCCTCTTCAGAAGCTTTCTCCACTGCATYTCCTGGAGGATTTTTACCAGGATAGAGGAGTGAGAGTTGAGTATCCTCTCAAACAGAAGTATTTTCATGGAGGAAAAAGAAATCCCAAATAAATGACTATCACAGGGAACATAATATAGTTGGAACAGGAGTCGCTTCTTATGGAGCGGTTTGTGTTTGYTTCCCAGCTGCTCTACCTCTAAGCAGCCTCTTACCCCCAACGCAGGAGTTCCACCAGTTGTAAAAGCAAAATCTAACCAGTGCCAGATTTAAGTCTCAAAATACGAAACATTTTAGATATGAAGAGCAAAGGGGGGGCCTCGATTCATAAGAGAACTTCTAAGCATTATTGTAGCATAAATAATATGACATCTTTCACCCCAAATAGCCTAACACTTCATAAACTGATATGAGTTTCACTCGTTGCTGAAACACAGCTATTTCTGAAGTGGAACTTGATATCTTTTTTTTACCAGGAGAGAGCAATATTTTAAGGTGGAGAGTGAAGAATGCAATATACAACCAATTATAAGYATAATTGAGATTGGCTTTGCAAAATGGAAGGATCAAGTAAAATGTACTTTTAGTAGTAACATGTAGTCTAGTGTATCTCAAACTTACATCCTTAGTTTTCAAATGTATTTCATTTAAGAAATATGCAGGAAGCTCAGATGATGTTTTGTCCTCTCTCTTTTATCAGTGCTCCGCTACGATGCCCTGCTGGCAGATTCGCTAGGTCCTTTCCTCTCTCCATTTAATTTGATATCCAAGTCTCGGAGCTGGCTGAGAAACCCTGAGTTTGGGCAGATGTCTCTGTGAGAGCTCACTGTTTTCAGAGCATCCACAAGTGTCATGTTTTCATGGATCATTAGGAAGGCAAGCACTAAAGATGCAGAGCGGCTCACCCCCATGGCACAATGGACGAACACTTTGCCTGCAAGAAGAAGACACAGAACAAGGTGAGTCGGCTTTTGGGCACAGAGAGGGGCACGGGGAACACCCAAACTGCTCCCTGTGTCCCTAAGTTGAATTGAGTTGGCAAAATGACTGTGACAGTTACTGCATTCTCATTTTTTTCACAGTTATCCTAAGATAGATATCRAGCAAGGTCATATTCGTACTGACTTCGTGAATCCAACTTCATGAGGTTACATTCTTGCCCAAACTGTATGAATGCTCAAGTATTTGATTTCAGATTAAAATAGCTGAAGTTTTCTGTGGAAGGAGAAACTTTCTGTTTCTGCCTGGCTTGTTAGCGCAGTTTTCTGTAGAAAAATAGTTTTGGCAGAAAAATTTGGCCCAGACCTGACTGTGATTATCGAGAAGTCCCATAAACTCTGTAGGACRGTCTGCCCATAAAAACGGTCTCATAATTTACTGTATCTCAGCAGCCCAGTGAGAGCTATAACTGGGGTTTTAATAAAGCACTCCAGCAAAAGCAGCGAGCTCTTGCAGCCAGTCAGAGTCAGAGCAAACTCTGGAACAAATGGAAATTATGATAACCAGGCCATAATCCAAACTCTACTGACAAAAAAAATCAGCAGGCTCTGGGTCAGACTTCTCATTTTAGACTTAGCTCATTAACTTGTGCTGCAGCTCTAGCTTAATAGGCAGTTTGAATAGAGCTCCATCCTGCAAAGCACTGCAGCATGTAGAGCACTTAAGCCAGTGCGAGTGCTGTTGTCCCCAGCTGAAGCCCTGGGGAGCTGGAGCGGAGCTGCCACGTGGTTCCTGGGGCCAGGGGGTCCAGGCTGGATCTCCCCCCAACATGAGGGATGTGAGTGAGTGGGGAGGGGGACACAAGATTTTGGCAGGAGGCAAATCCTGTTGAGGAGCAGAGTGATCCTGCGTGTGCCTTATTCAGTGTCATGCTGCACCTGGTTTACTGGCTACGTGGTTAATACAAGGAGAAGCCCTTTGGCTCATGTTGAAACCTCCTCCCCAAACTTCTCTTTGCCTCCTTCTTACCTCCTGAAGTGTTCAACGCTTTGCCTATGAAGTTGGCAGCATCATAGAAGAAGATGCTTAAATCAAAGGAAGGATCATCAAATGCTTCTATTCCGTAGTACTCTATTTGTAGATCATTGTAATATTTGGCTCCTGTGTTAATGCTGTATGGCCCATCTGCTGCATTAAGGATATGAGTAATGTTCAGATTTTGAAGGGCAGTTTTATTCCTAGCAGCCCACCTGAAAGACATAAAGGGTTAATCAGCAGCACTGCCAATATTATGCCTTAAAATAGAGTAGTTCACAGTTAATGCCTACTCCCACCAGGGATGAATACAGGAATTGCAGCTTCATTACAAAGTGGCAAATTTTAAGATGCCCGTAGCACTTTGCAAATGAAATATGTGGTATGGTGTTACAGAGAGCAGCATGAGCAGAGACTTGCCTGTGAGGTACTGTTAGTCAGGCAATTGTCTCCCTGCAGTTAATTCCTGGGAATATAGCTGGATGGAGCAGTGAAGATTTTAAGCATTTGTTTAACAAGTGCTACCACTAATCTCTCGCAGCGTGTACAGGTTGCAAGGGCGAGCACCCACATGGGTGCAGCACTTCCAAACTGTTTCTCACTATCTGTCCTTGGGGTCACTTCTCATTCTGACGTGTAGCGGCTGCCTCGTGCTCTGCAGCCAGGRTCTCCCCTTCCAGCCTTAACCTAGGACTCAAACGTTTCCAAATGTGACCCTTACTGTTATATTCATAAGAAGGAGAAGTTGGGAGAAAAGAGCTGTTGTTCTGACCAGTTAATGATGTACATTATCTGCAGTCACACAGATAGAGGAGAAGGAAATAGAGGCAGTCACTAGTGTAAGATATTTACATGAAAATTCTTGRTGGATATTTTCAATTTTACAGTCTTACTTTGAATGACAGTTGGATATGGACTGGTAAAATTCCTGCTTCTCACACCAGCTCCTGATCCTTCTAGTCCTATCCGAACGCAAGGGCTACCGTGTCCTCGCCTGCAGCTCTCGGGCCAGATGATGCTTCTCAGTTCTTAGCACCAATCACAAGTGCCACCCATTTCAGGTGAGCTGTTTAAGCTCTGTCTTGCATACAACTAATTCTTACCCTACTAAAACGCACAYGGCTCATTGAAACCCCTCTCAGATAGACCTTGAGTAAGTTACAGCAAGAGCCTACTAATGCACCATATGTCCTTACGCATCTCCCAGGTAGACATTTGGCCAGACTTGGTCCACGTGGTTCTCAGAGCCTCCTCTCAACCAGACAAGCCGCTGGAGGTCGGCGAGCGCGGGCGTCTCGTAGGAACCGCGGCCCCCGGTGCCGCGCGGCTCCGAGCGGGCGCTGCTGTGGGGCATCCTGCTCCGCTTACAGCAGAGACAGCTTTTCTGAAATGAGGTAAGAGGAAACTTTCAAGCAGAAATAATATTCCCTAGGAAGCCGCCCTGTTCATTAGCCTCCAAAGAGCATCGCGTTTCGTGGGTTGTGTATGCAGCAGGGCCTGCAGGTGTTACTGAGACCATCCAGAGAGCAGGACTGACTCTGCTGTGACCCTACAGGTGGGTAATTCATCCCCTGAGAAAGCAGCAGCAGCATAAGACAGAATTACTTAATTTCGTGACGAGTAACACTGTTGAAAAACAAAGTCCTGSCCCACGCGAACGTGGCAGCGCCTGCGCTTCATAGACGAGGTTCTTGTTTCTGTTACGGTGCTGCTGCTGCTGAGTGTAATGCAGGAAAGCTCTAGCACCCAATGTCRGAATTGCAGAAGGGTTTGTGCTCAGTGTGCTTCCTGCTGGATAGAAGTGGATAGAATTATTTCTATCCAGCTTCCTGCTGGATAGAAATAATAAATCATTGCACTTATGCTCACAAGGCTAAAGGACCAAGGGGAAAAATCTGAGGTGTGTATRTGACATACAGTGTGTCTATACACTTAAAAACTGTATGGACATTTTCTTTCTATTATACAGATATATTTATACATGTGATATATTTATACACACATGCCTACACACATATATACATTTTCACAGTTGTATGTACATGTGTGTATATATATATATACACACATATACACACAAAAAAAMCCAGAAGTTCAACCATGTTTCTCTGTATCTCAGGCAAATACCACTGAGCACTCRGCTGTACCTGTCTGCCTCTGTCTCCCTTGTGCGAGCTGTTCCACTTTGTGTAAAAGCTGTGCTAGCTGTTTGCCTCTAGAGAGAGGCAGCCCTCTCATCTGAAGCACAGGGTACTTACGTACCTGGGATATGTGGGGGAGAAAAAAAGAAAAAAAGAAAAAAAGAAAAAAAGAAAAAAAAAAAGTTATATTTTGGAGAGTTTTGGAGCTGAAAGTCAGGTCTGTACTGCCTTGTTGAGAATCCTGTCCAGGACGTTTTGCTGCCTCACAGACTGTGCAGTTCAGCACATGTGTCCCTTGTGCTAGGGTGTTTGCTGCTACTGGTGCAAGAAGCTTGTGTGCTTGCTCCTTATYCAGGGGGGCTCTCTGATCGCAGCCCAAATTTGCTTCCACTGCTCCCCTCTCCCTCCTCCTCTCCTCAAAAGCTGAGAGCAGTTATAACTTTTTGTGCATGCTAATAAAGTGTCCTTAGAGTAACTATTTAATAAGCAAAATATGAAAAGCACAATAAAAATGATGGGAGAGAGGGAAAAAAAAGCTTACTTTAAATGATCAAGAGAAAGGAGCTGCACATGAATAACTCAGGGAAGCAGAGAAGGACKGCAGGAATACAACATTTTTTTCAAGAAAACCAAGATCGCCAAGAGCAATGCTGAAGGAATACACAGGGTGACCCCAGCACATGAAGGAGAGCACAGAAAGGGATATTGCACAGTGCCCAGCTAGTTTTACTGCCTTGCAAAAGTCAGGCACCRTGCTCAGAAGCTGCTGCCAGTGTCTTTATGATGACTTGTTGGTACTTTCACTGATATAGAACATTAAGCACAAGCAGTAAAAAGAAACCAAGATCATGATAATTTAGGTTTATTCCAGGAGGTTCCTATGACCACAGCAATGTGGGTGACTCTCAGTTGMTGCACATGCTGTGGAGATCAGCAGAGAGGCGCTCAGCTTTCAGTGCCTGTAGCCCCCTCATTTTAAAGTCCTGTTACAGCCAGTGAGCTTGTACAATAACAATAATTTGTGCCAGAGAGGGAAAGAGGTGTCCTTGCCGGGCCTATATYCCTGGCTTATTCCACATGGCTGATGCCAGACAAGCGAGCTCCTCATGTCAATGGGGAGCCCAGCTCCTCCCCACTCTGCGCGCTGCTGCGCTGCCCTCGCAGTTGAATTGCTCCGTGGGGCCTTCAGGGTAAGCGTGGAAAAGCTATAGCAGATGATGGGACTAATGAGGAAAGTAATATGAATTTTTTAATTGAAGGCCAGGGACTTTGCTGAAGGTTTTCCCTCACCGTCCTTCTTTAAGATCCTGCAAAGTTAGCAGAAGGGAGGCCGCTGATTGCATTTCTCAAAGGTTGCCCCTCGGGCAGCTCGCAGAGGCTGCTCCGCTTGGAAGCAGTCGGCAGCTGTAGGGTGGTAAGATGCCTTGTAATCAAAAAGGAAATCCTGCTTCACAAGGTTGCCACTGGTTTCTGCAGAGATCTAGCACTTGTATGTGAGGGAGGATTACTTTTCTTCTTCAAATGTAGTCAGTGGGTACTTAAAATCTATCCTGTTTGCTTCTTTCTTGGTCTCTCCTTTCTTCTCCCTTCCTGTAGAAGACCTTTTACCTGTAGGAGACACCTAGGACCAGGAGTGGACTCTAAGTGCCATCCCAATGGACGAGCTGCTCACTTTGTAGAGAGGCTGGGGGATGGTGACCACCCACGAGCTGCTTCAACGCTCAGCATTGATTCCCAAGCGTCCATGGTGGGGACAAACCCCCAAGGACTCCACTCCTGGAGAACATTGTCCACAGCAACAGCCTTGCTGTGAGGCCTCCACACACCTCTGATGTTGTCCTGCCATGCGAGTCTGCACACTGGGCAAGGATTTTCTTTTCTGCACCAGAAACAATTGCTGTTTTCTACTGGAATTTTTTTTTCTGGCAAAGAAAAGACAAAAACCCACAACCTACAGTAATTTGAATTGTCTAAAGCTTTTTACAGATCTGTGGTGTATTGGCAGATTCCAGTTAAAGAAAACTCTTCTGAAAAAGAAAGCAAATGCCCCAATATTGTGGGTGTGAAATAGCTCATTTTACCATTTCCAAAAACAACCGTTTCCATTTCTCCTTGTCAAAATTACTTTTGTTTTGGAATTTTACTTTAACGCTGCACGAAACATTTTAAAATAAGAAAACAAGATGCAGCAGTTTGCTCCTGGTTGAGAGAAGCCTGTTCTGCCTAACGAGACATGAGCACACGCTAACCAGGCAGCCGCTTCGTCCCGTCGCCCTCGTGGCAGTTGCTCAGCGTGGGGARGGCAACTTGCCCTTTTCCCGTGGGTTGTTACCATGTCTCCTGGAGGCAGAGCTCCACTACAGAGACATTAAACATCTGTCAGAAGTCCCCAGGGGAGGCTGTGGCAGAGCATTAGCAGGGCCCAAAGCAGAGCCATACCCACCGGATCGTCTCTCGCCTACCCCTTTTGYTGGCGCTTTCCTAGCGGGTACAGATCACTTGGGGATATCGAGGTAGCCCCAAAGGGGTCAAGTGCCTTCAGGATCTTAAACGAGATCGTTCATAGCCTCCTTCACGGCAGGGAACTGATCTAGACTGGACCTGCGGTTACTGCAATGACATTAAATAACAATAACATGTTACAGGGAGCTCCTGCAGCCCAATATCCTAAAGTCCCTGAAACAAAACCTGAAGAACTTGATGGTTTAGAATGCAAAAGCATGAGATCATAATACTGTTCACTTGAAAAACAAGCAAAACAAAAGCCTGATGATGTGTCTGAAATTACTTTCTGCCCCATTTTTCCTTCTCTCTCTCTCCTTATTTTTCCTGAGCAGGCATCTCTGCACTCGTCTTCTACACTGCTTGCTGTTTTCTCTTAGGTGGTACTTAACACTACGGCTCTTTGTCCTCCTCATGGAAAAATCCAGATGGAAAGAAGTGTGGTTCACAGGGAAATGGTCATGTAAGTGGAATTAATCTTTCAGATACTGTAATGTGAAATCCGATCTTTTTTTCTGTTGTTGCTGTTGAGAAGACCCAATCTGTGTGTCTACATTTTGGCCAGAATCCGATGCTCAGAGAGCCCAGGAGTCTCTGGAGGTGGAGCTGAAAGTCTTGTGTGCAGAAACAGGCACATTTAAAAGCAATAGCAAAGTTGAAACAGCCAGATGGGAGCCTAGCAGGCAGCTGAGAGGGAAACTCTCTGTTTTCCTTGCAAGCCTTCAGGGGCTTGTTTGCAGGAATTAGACTCGCTCACCAGCAGTTTGCTGCAGCACTAATACCAAGTGCTATTGGAAATGAGATGCAGGTTATGGCTGATGCTTTAAATGAGGCACCGATGGGAATTTTGAAATGAGATCCTGGGCTCGTCTTGGTGTAGACCGTGCACATGGCAGAGCAATATTGCTTTCTTGGCTGACTGACTCGTATATTATGGCCCTTTATTTTGCCCACGCTCAGCAGCAGGGAACAGCAGAGGCTCTCAGTGCTCCTGCTCTGAGCCCGCTGTGCCTCGCGCGGGACCTGCCACTGCTGCAAACAGGGATGTTGCTATATTGCTACTAAAAAAGGGCTCTGAAGCACTTGCCCTTTTGCAGGCGGTATGGATTTGACCGTGGATTAAAGTGGATAGTTTGTTTGTTTATTTGTTTGTTTTCCTCCTTGATTTACTCAAGTGATTTTTGCCTGTCTACTTCTGTCAATTTAGAAGTGACAATGCTGCCAAGCATGCAGGCCTTCYGAGCGCTTGAGAGCACAAGTAAAAGGGTTTTGATATTTCTCAGGCATTTGGCAGTGGTATCTTTGAGTGCCTCTTCGTGTACCTTTAATGCAAGCAGTAGAGCTCTCTTTTCCATGCCTTGCTTGAGAGGTGCCTATGGGAAAGGGAGAAAGTTGACCATAACATTTTGCAGTGCGATCAAGGCTGAAGACTTAGGAGAAAAGAAGCAGTATTGGTGTATTTTTAATCATCTATGAAGACCTCTGAGAAAATTTGGCAAAAGGACTTCTCTTGAAAGTATTTGTTATGCTCTATGCAGTCCTGTTAATGTAGAATAAAACTATGAAGCCTCACACATTCAAGAAACACAAGGTCTAGAAAGGACATCTTGCTCTGGGATAACCACTGAAGCACTCCTGCAGTCCAATTGGTAGAGCTGGAAGAATTAAACAAGCTATCAAACCTGCAAGAAGGGTTTGTTTTGGTTTGGTTTGTTTTTTAATTTATGCCAGCTGACCTAATTACATACTATCTTTAATGACAACCCTTGTCTTAGCAAGCACAGCAACACGGCTGCTAATGAAGCACTGTGATTTTTCATGTAGCCAGAAGATGGCAGAAGAAAGCAATCCTGAATGATTTTAAAAAAGCAAATGCTGGCGATATAACCATGATTTTAAACAGAAGAATTACTGAGTTACAAGAAATTGCATTGGTTGGATGGTTGAAAAAAAAATGCGATACGCACTGGAGTAATTAAACTGGTGTTGACTTGGGGAGAACACATCAAATCAGTGGGGCTGTGTGTGCTCCTGTGCGGGCAGTTGCAGAAGGGAAAGCTGTAACTGTACTGGGCTCCTTGGAGGAGGGTTTGGAGGGTCCCTGCACTGGAGCCCTAGGAGCAGGTGAAGGGGAAGAAGGAAGGAAGGAAGGAAGGAAGGAAGGAAGGAAGGAAGGAAGGAAGGAAGGAAGGAAGGAAGGAAGGAAGGAAGGAAGGAAGGGAGGAAGGGAGGGAGGAAGGGAGGGAGGAAGGAAGGAAGGAAGGAAGGAAGGAAGGAAGGAAGGAAGGAAGGAAGGAAGGAAGGAAGGAAGGAAGGAAGGAAGGAAGGAAGGAATCTGCTTGTCAGATTTTACTGNAGGAAGGAAGGAAGGAAGGAAGGAAGGAAGGAAGGAAGGAAGGAAGGAAGGAAGGAAGGAAGGAAGGAAGGAAGGAAGGAAGGAAGGAATCTGCTTGTCAGATTTTACTGGAGGTTCTGAAAAATCCCGCCTCGCCAAGGTGCCAGCATGAGCTGCCGAGATCGTTAGAAAGCAGTGGGAATTCAGAGGTGCTTGTGCATGGGCAAGCGCTGTCACCAAGCCAGGGCAGCAGGAAAGCTCAGGGGAAGCCTGCAGCCTCCTTGATCTTAGCTTACCTTGGAAACAGGCTTAAAGGAGACTTATCAGCAGCACTTGCAGCTTGTCTGTCTGGAGGGAAACAAAGCTGTAAGAGATGTGCTTAAAACCTGGTAGCACTGGGCCTCCCCCAAAGCCTCACCACTCGAGGTCTCAGGCAGTGGAAGACCTTGCTGCCATATCGTAGTTTTTGCAGTTTTCTGCTCACTTTTCTGCTCTTCTGTTTTCAAAGCAGCTCCCTAGAGCTGATGGAGGCGAGTGCTCCCAAGCAGGAGCAAGTAAGGAATTTTGCACGAGGGTCAGACCTTCTGTCCTGTCTCCAGGAATTAAAGGTATCACGAGGTTTAGGAAGCAGCTAATCTGCTGACAGTCCAAATTGGAGGGTATACAGGGGCCACATTGCTCCAAGCCTGTTCCTCCTAGAGCATCCTATGACCTGAGTCCTCCCTCCAGGCCACCAGCAGTGATCACCCTGCTCAAAGCTCCTACAAGGTTGCTTGAGCCTGCGCTGGACATGATGCGATGGGCATGTAGTCTTTGCATGTTCACCTTTTAGGAGATGGGAGAAGACAGGATGCTCTGGAGACTCCACAGGCCCCTGCTCTTCTTCCATGCTTAAAAAGGAAAATCCTCACCTGATCTCCTTTTAGCACTGAAGTACAGATTTAATCGCTAATTTGCTATTTCTTTTAGTGGAGATGGCCACAAGAAGCATTTTAACAGGAATTGCTCATTGCAGAACAAAGGCAGATTCGGGGCTGCCAGGGGGTTTGGAAGCTCTGCATGCAGAGGAAGTGCCTGGAAAAACAAGCATGCATTTGCCACCATTAGGCACAGGAACGCAGCCCTCTCCCGCAGAGGGAATAAAGAAGAAATCCTGGCCAAGGAGGAAGTCACAAGAACAGTTATAGCTGTAACTTTCTAAATGTTTATCTTTGATCTGTATTCCATGTCTGGATCGTATGGTGGCAGGTCTCTTATGGAAAAGAAAGACAAGCTAAATGAGCACAACCTGAGGAAACAGTGATTTTCTAAGCTGCAGGATGGGATGTGCAAGGCCTTACCACTCATGATATTGCTAACTCTGGATTTCACACAGGGTCTCTTAAACCCTTCAAATCTTAGTGTCCTAATGGAATTTTAAGTATTGTGGCTTCAGCCACACGTTTTTTTCGCTGAATAGAACAGATTGCCTTTCATACAAATTGCATCTTCTCATGCTTCTTTGGTATTAATATATATGGGAATTAGAGAGAATTGCTCATGACTGATGTTTAGTAAAGAAGGTGTCTGTGAAAGCAATTCAGGAAAAAAAGAAAATTACTCCAAACCTCTTTTTAATATATGGGTGAAAGATTTTCAAAGGCCCAAAGGAAAAGCTATCAGGTTATGCACCGTAGGACTATTTATGCCCTTGAAACATCTTTTGCTTACGGTGCTTAATTGGTCTGTGAAACTCTATTGCCAGAAGAGGTAATTGACCATTTTTATAGAAGGATGAGTAACAAAAATACTCAGAGCTATTGTTCTGGAAATTAAAAAAGAAAAGAATTATGGAAAGAATATGTTTTAGGGCATAAGCCAGCCTCTCCTGAAACTATGCAAATTGAGCTGGTGAAAACAACAGCAGACAAAATGAAATGAGTTGTATATGAAGAACTGAGATCTCAAATGTGATATTATGCAGAARGTAAAGAGTCTACACTAGATAAGAAACAGCTCAATGTGTTATCAAGGGTGCACTTCGATTTTGATGAATGTTAAAAGAACCTTTAGCCTTGAAAATAAAGAGGATAATTTCTCTCTAGGCAGTGGCTGCTCATGAAAGCCATAAAATAAGAGCACTGGAGCCCTAATTTTATAGTGCTTCTTAAATGATTTTCAAATGGTCCAGCTGCTTTGTGCCACAATAACACAAGGCAGAGATATTTACGCCGGCGATAACAAGCATGCATTAGCCTGCCCAAGCTGCTCTCCGTGGGCAGCCAGCATCAGGTGCAACGTACGTGGAAAACTGAGAGCTGCCCATGCGGATTGATCACACTTACACTTCGGCTAGAGGGATCCTGGAAGCTGCTTTTTCCACCAGACAACTCGGTTGTTTTCCTCGCCTGCGTCTCGCCTGTGCAGCACAGGATGTACGCGCCTGGTGACTCCTGTTCTATTTTGATACTTGAGCACCTGCCAATTACGTCCGCTTAAGCCATACTGTCCTTGAGAGGCTTCCCAGTTTGGAAATAGTACGGCCAATTCAACCCTGCTGGGTTTTAATGGAGTTTCACCGGGGATTAATTTGGCCTAAATGTTGAAGTTGCGATGTGCCGTGTTCACTTGGAGAGAAATGCATTGCTGCAAGCGAGCTCTGGGCAAATGCTGCCTAGTTCTGCTAAGACGTCCAAACTGTCTCCAGTAGCTTTGCCCAGCTACTTCTGCATCTCCATGATTCTCCGCAATTGCAATCTCAATCAGCAAATATGAGAGGTTATGACCAACACACCTGTACCATTTGCGTGCTGTGGCTATTCCAGGGCCTATCCTAAAACGAGAAATACTGGAGAGGAATCTATCCCAGTTAGGGTGCCTGGCAGGAGCAAGGTACCCCTGGAAAGTCCCTGCAAAGTGACTATCTATTGCCATACTAGTGCACAAATTCTACCCCTGATCCCAAAGGTCAGCATCTTTTAATGTCCAGAGATAACCTTAAATAGTTCAGTTTTAAATATGAGCCTGTTTCTCCTGAAGTTGAGTTTTACAAATTGAAATTTTCTTCAGTAAGTCAGACAACAAACTGGAAACACATCCTAAAGGACCTAGGACACATTTGTTACCTTTATTTATCTGAATGGCTGAGGAATGATTTGAGTCAGATATGAAATTAAGAAATCTTCTATGACTGAAATGTAGGAGAAAGATAAGCTTCATGACAAAGCTTTGGGACCATGTTCCTTTTGTCATTRTTTAATATTCAGATGGTTAGGCTGACATTTCTTCATGCCACTTTGATCYTTTATTTTAAAATGGATTACTTTGGCATATTCTTTTTCTCAATTCAGCATCTAAATCCTGCAGCTGTTTGAGGAATCTTCAGTTTAGTGAAATTTCTCAGTGTAACTCTTTGGACAGTGTCACCTACAGAAAAATGATGGTAAGCCAGCACAAGGGAAGTAGCTCTGATTTTACCAGTAATACAGTGAGCCAAGATTTTTCCCTGCAAAATAAAAATGAATACAGGCTGTGCTGTTCCAGGCTGCACAGAAAAGTGTCATGGTCAGAGATTGCTTAAGTTCCTGTCTCTGCCTCACCCACATCTCATTTCATCTCTCGGAGATCCAATTTACAGCAGCCGAGATAAACCAGCCTTCAGGGTATTACATTAATCTCGCTCATAAATCAAGAACCACGTTTTGTTACTGGAGGCAAAAGCATGGCATGAGACTTTGCAAATGGATCTTGTGATAGTTCTTTGCAACTTTTGGCTGTTTCTCAAACCAATAAGTAACTTTTTTTTTATGTTGTGTATTCTGATGACTCAATAAGGAAATACTTTAAAAAACAGTGCTGTTTTGCACTAAAAACTCAGAATCTCTCTCCCCACTCGCTAAAACGTGGCATCGTTTACATCTATAGCTGCTTGCTTTTTCCACCTCCTGTTGCAGGACTCGTGGTCTGATGATTACGGGTAGGTGCCATGTGCTCCTTGCCACTGACAGGAATGCGGTTTTGTGGGTTGCTCCTAATCTCGCCGTGTCCTGCTTCCCTCCCAGCTGCCAATGGAGATGATATCTGTAAGTGGATAACAAGCCTTGCCCGAGCGCCTGAGTGAGGTTTAGTTGAGGCTTGTGCAGTAATCGGTGATCACAGAAGGAAAGCGCTGCCGGGARCGGCGCCTTAGGCGGCCCCGTGGGCCGCTCGGAGCCTGCGGCCTGGTCTTGGTGCCACTATGGAAATGCCCACTGCGGCACCACTCAGCCGTGTCCTCTGCACTGTCCCATAATAATGACTATCCTGCCCATGAAGAGCTCCTTTTCCTCAGCTTCCCCAGGCAATATTTGGTATATGGGTGACACCAAGGCGCCTCGGGGCTTTCTTGGCATCACCACTGTGGAGATGCAGCATGGAAGCGCGCGACCAAAAAGCAGCTCCAGGTGTCTTGCTGGCTTCTATGAGAGTGTGCAGAGCCCAGTGCTCACCACACTTTGCACCTTGCAGCTTTACTAACCTGGCTGAACTCCAGCTGAGGATCCTGCCTGCTTACAGTTCAACATGAAGCTTGAATTCTTGTTCCCTGAGCTGCTTATTTTGTAGCACGTTTTAAAAGCTTTTCCCTTTGAACCCAAAGGGTCTTCACCTTGGCCTGGCATATCAGTAGTGGCTGAGAGACAGACAAATATTTAATAACCACTTTGTTGACTACTTCAAAGTCCTCTGGGATGAAAGACATCATGTAAAGCCAGTCATCTCTATTTTATTTTGTGAGCGAAGTTTAGCTCCTTTAAAGAAGCTGGCCATCAAGGTTCTGCACAAGTCACGGGAAAAATACTGCCTAGTAAAATTTACCTTTAACTCTAGATTGATCTTTAATTTCCAAATAGCTCCTCAGAAATCCATGCTTCATAGAAATCCATAGTGAAAATTTATAGTAGCGCTTCAGGTTATTTTAGCTAGGGCAGATGTCATGACACTAATTAATTTATACCAACGTGAGTTTGCTCAATAACAGCATCATCCAGTATCCACTGACTGCACTGAGTTGTAGGTCAGGCCTAAATGCAAGTCCTCACATTCTTCTCTATTTCTACCTCAAGAAGATCCCATGGAACCTTATTCTGAAATGTTATTCATATTTGTCTTATGTTGGCAAAATAAAGAAAAAATCCCTTTTTAGTACTTAAAAATAATCCAATTTTACTGGATTTAAAAAGATTTAAAGACTGTTTGCAGTCTTTAAGTCTTTGTGTTGAACCTGAACATTAGAGCTCAGCTGCTGCATTCGTGACATTCAGGTCCAGACTATCACAACCATGGCCCTGGCTGCCTTGCAGTGACTGTGTGTGGTCAGCAACCTGCTGTGCACCGGCCTCATCTGCACGTGGTCATTTCACATCTGCTTTGTAATCTGCATTTACAAATTTTGATTTTATTTATAACAGCTATCAGCTCGTTTTTAGGCTTTGCCTATTCAGAGCTAAAGAATTCCTTGTTTTAGCTGTGATCAGYGGGAAGTTAGCCAAAGGATTGTTAGTTCTTCCTGCTTCTCTTGTTTGGGAAATAACATAATTGTAATTTCCAGACAGTCCAGCCAGTTTCTAATCTGCTAGTGATGGAAAGAACTTGTTTTGGCATGAAAATGGACAACAGGCTTGTTCAGTGTAGATGGTTCTGTGCTTTCCTCATGTTCCAGAATGAAACAATCGTCTGTGCACGTCTGGGCAATAAACACTGCAGCCCAGGCTCATTCAGAACACGCATATTTCTTGTTCRAAATTTCAACTGAAAAGCAGATCATCCTGCAAACAGCTTGTGCTACTATATCCTTTTATTTGAAAATTAACATTCTGGTTGAAATAATCTCAGGTTAAAAAGCAATCACAGTTCAATTTCAGGCTATTCAGGATCAYGATTTTGCCTCCTGTTCCATATTTTGAATGTCTGCAACATTTATAAAATCTGTTCGGTGACTAATTACAAAATAAATAATACAAGTTAATGAGGAAATTTTTATTCTCTTTTTAATTAATGCTGTTATGTTCAGTAGATTCTTTCTGTAGTGGAAGGCTGCTTTTGCTTTCCTCTGTTCTATTTTGAGAAAACTAATTTTAACAGCTCTAACTAAACAAAATAGTTGGACAGTGAATGTTACTGAGTACTGTATTCCCCAGCCCTTCAGAGCAGCTCAGCTTCAAAATAGCACTTATATGATGCCAATGCAGGGATTACGTCACTCCTCATCCACATGATGTGGATTAATCCCACCTTGCAGCTGTCCAAAATATCTCCAGATCCCGGGTAGAAGGAGCACCGGGCTCAAAGCAGTGCAGGGCTGAGGGRCTCTGGCCGTCCTCAGGCACTGCCCCTTTGGGGCTCACCTGCTGTTCTGGGCCATGGGAATTTGCTGCTGCAGGATCCTCAGGGCAGTTTTTGCTGAACTTTGCTGCAGTTGATGTGTCAGGGCAGGTGGCTGTGCTGAAATACGGCATGTGCCTCCATGCCTCGCCAGATTAGATCCTCGCTGCATCCTGGTTGGAGTGGGAATAGCCACCACAGCACAAAACTCTGTGCTAGGCAAAMGTTGGGAAAATTCCTTTCTCACTCCCCCCATCAGGAATGTCACTGTGGACACCTGCACAGAGCTCTCCCCAGGAAAGGAACTTCAGCCGATACAACGCGATGCAGTCCCAAATGCCACGTGTGGCCCATTCTAATAATAAGTATCATCAGCTATTAGGAAACAGGGCAGAGATCATCTTAGGGGCAAGATCAAAATTCAGGTTCAGACGACTGTGAAAGCAGCTGTCCTGGGCCTCGCTSAGGGTCCTGCTTGCCTGGTGTCCTGTTCCTGGCTATTGGCACTCAGGGGTTGACTGCACAATATAATACGCACAAGCAACTCCAAATTATATTTATTCCTAGTACTCCCCCAGCTTCCAAATGGATGCAGTGCAGTAGTTACCAGGTCTGGATGTAGTTTCCATATATTTTATATTTGTTCCGTCAACATGTTTGGTTACCCCATGGGTGTTTGTAGGCTCTCAGCCTCAAGAGCATCCTGTGGCAAGGTGTCTCACAGCATAACTAAACCACTTCCCCTGTTTTGAACCTGACTTCTACCAACCTCATTTGATGCCCTTAGGTGACTCTCTCCTGACTAGCATTGTGGTTCTGTGATAGCTTTAACCAGATTTAAGTCTGCACAGCTGTGGCTGGGGATGGTCACAAACCCCCACACTCACAGCCTCCATTGAGCTGGGACCAGCCCCCATGAGCCACTTGCTAAAGGGCACCTAGCTGACAACCACTCCTTCAGTTAAACACATTAAAAAACTTGAAAAGGAAGAGCAGGTC